TTGAGACGAGGGTTAATCGTTGTTGAACTTTTGGAAAATTGATAGTTACTCATTCAATTGTTTGGGCGTTGGTTTGTGGGGTTTTAAATTAATCGTTCACCAGGAATAAACAAACCAAAACCATATAATAAAATTACCGGGTGTGGCTTTTGAAGTGAAACTTCATTAGGCGCATGAGGGTAATTTTTTTACGGATGAACCGCAATAATAATAATATTATCGTCACGAAGATGTGCAGCGTTTTTGTCGAAGGAAAGGGAGAGAGCAATTGAGACCGATTGAGAGAGAGTGAGAAGGGCGAATTACCTTATAGAAATTGTATTTTTAAAATTAAAATTTCGTAAAGAGAATTCATGAATTATTAGTATTTTATGCAAAATAATTTATTTGTCTCAAATTACGAATTGTAAATTAAAATGCCACGTGTTTTTACTATCGAAGAAATAAATGGACAATCTCAATGCCAGAGGGCTCGCGAGTGCGTTGCCGGCCTTTTCAGAATTGGAACGTCCTTTTCTTAAAGGACCCTAACCCAAATTGCTTCGGAACTACTTCAGTGGGCAGCTGGTGCCACATAGTGGTGGTGCGCGGCAAAAACTGCCCTAAGAACCGCGACGGACGTTGAGGTGATACGGATGGTATTTAGTGCCGATGCTGAAACTCAGCAAGGGATATTAAACCGAAAAACTCCTCAGAACACTCTCTGTCAATGCGGTATAAGATTTTCCCCCAAAGCATATCTGAAAAAAAAGTTAATATACGATATTAAAACATAAAAACCCATCAACGTATTGAGAATTTATAGACGCAAGTGAAATTGATGGTTCATAAATATAATTTATGATTTTCGTCATCGAATGATTGATGCATTCTGAAACTTGAATTACGGACGCTTGACGCATTTACCGTATGACGGGAATAATGATTAAATTACTTATTCATTGCGTATTCAAAATTAATCATGAATGTGTTGAAAGTATCGAAATACCCTTTACCGATGTGGCCAGTCCTTCTACGCGCTTAAGTTTAAATTAAACAGTTTAAAAGTACGTTGGAAAAGGTTCGCTCTAAGGGTGAGATTCAAAAACGAGAGTTTGAGCTAAGTATGACTCTTGTATGTCAAAAATCTATTGGTATGTGACATAAGGGAGTTATAGTTCGTGCTTCTTGTTTCTGAATCTCATTATGTATTCACAAAAATATCTCTTACATATTATAGATATATCCTCATCATCAAAGATTATCTAATATATAAAATTCTCGTGTCACAATATTCGTTCCCATACTCCTCCGAAACGGCTCGACCGATTAGTATGAATTTTTGTTTTTCTATGAAATTTTTATGCATATTCAGTAAGTCTGAGTATCGGCTACTATCTTATCTATCTTTCCAACCCCTAAGTGATATGGGGTGTCCACCCCAAAACAATTTCTTTTATTATTTAGACAATTTTTTTTTTTTTATTTTTTTATGATACAGCATACAAAAATACATACAACCCCTAATTTTCAACCCTTTACGATCAACCGCTATTTTTTATTATTGTAGACAGTTATTTATATTGAACTTAAAAAATGTTTCCTAGAAATAATATACATGGCAAAACAAACGTTTGCTGGGTCAGCTAGTAGAAATATAATTCTTATAGCACTGTACTTATATTCCTGAAAAATTTTGTACAAATTGCAATGAAAAGACATTACTGTTTTAGCTAGAATAGTGTCGCTGAGAATATATTCCGCAATTTTTATAAAAAAAGCATATCATAATCTGAATCTTGGCCAGATACTTTTAACTGCTCTTGGATTTAATTTTGCAAAATCTGGAGTTGTTTATGTTTCATGCTTCCTATACTAATAAGTAAAATGTAAACTTAAACTTTGCCTTGGCTGTGTGCCCATAGATAAGATGTAAGTGACGCCAGTTTTGTTGTTAAAAGCCTTTGTGTAATTTAGTTTCAGTTATTATAAGGTTACTTACGTAATATATAGTTGCAAGCACATAATATAGATCTCGTTTTCTTTATGTATTCGATAAGAGAGTGTTGACTACATTGGGACAATAAGACTTGTTTTTATTTATCCGGTGAAATTCGTCCCACCTGCAAATATGTCTGTCAAAACTTAAACAGACCACAGAGATCGGAGCTACCGCATACTGCAGCTATGAAACACAAATTTCTGAAGGCATCTATCTATTAAACCTTTAATGAGCGCCTGTGCACTTGAACCCCACGGCCAAGAGTTTCTACTCCAAAGGGAACAAAATCGAAGTTGAAGGAAAGTCTCTTATATTTGTGCTGTTTATTATTTTCCACCTGTTCTGCGGTCACCCCAGCTTGTCCGATGGGGTTTACTCTCATTTAAATGGTTTTAGAAGAAGAAGTTGAGAAGATAGAGTTGTAGTAAAATAAATCTGCGAATTTAATTTTGCTTTTACAGATGAATTACATTTATCTTTAAAACGGGAACCCAAATCCCAACATTAATTTTTTTCATATAATATGTCGGTATAATATTCCTATAGTTTATTGTAAGTTACCTTCCCCTTCACTTTTTACCTTTTTTACCATCCTTTCTCCACGCATTACTCGTATCTTCCTGTACCATTCTTAAGTTGCTACCCCCATTTCTCGCTCTTTGTCACTGCTCACTTCGTCATATATAATATTTCTGTTTTGTGAAAAGCCATATTTCAATTCGTTTTATAATGAAGTACTTAGTGGTTAATTATCCTTTGTCATCGTTTAATAATCTCTCTATAAATTCATTATTTTAAAAGATTGGATATTAATACTAAGCTTTTAATCAACATTTTCAATTATGAGAGTCATAACAGATGCAAAAACATTTCACTCATTTTTATTAAATAAATTTAATGAGATTTTATTGAAAATTTAATATAGTCTCTGTTTGGGATTTCGAAAACAAAGCAAGACAATACACGAGTATGGTCTTCTAGAACTCTGTGTGTGTTAAAGTAAATGTTACATCCGTGTGAGGGTAATAGTTTCGAATTTCGTCTTATCCAAGTATATAAAAAAAAAAGTTTTGTGCAATGTATTGAAATTTGTAAACAATCCGCCATTTTCTACTTTTCTATTGGTTATAAGAGATGTGACATTCACTTTAAAAAATAGTTTTATTAATTAATCGATTGTTAATAATAGTTTTTTTTATTTATCGATTATTTCCTCAATTTGTTAAGACACAACAACAATATTAAAAAGAGTGGCGGAGTCATTTTTACGTTATAGAGAGTGTTTCGTTATAAAGAATGACGTTATAAAGACTTTACACTGTATAATTCTTTTTTGACGTTCATAAGTGTATATTGTGTTACCTATATGAATAAATGAATTTTATTTGATTTGATTTCACCTATTTTATCTGGACTTTTCAATAGATAAGAATATTTTTTTATACATACAAACAATCATATATAAACACTAATGGAAACACAGTTTTAATCCAGACAAAAAAAAATATATTTGACGATTAGTTGAAAACTTAAAACACCTTTTTTGATGAAAACATAGTATCATGTCAATTGGGTTGACCTTTATTAGTCCCAAGTTTGTAATCTATTCCAAAAATACACTTTCTTAAATATTTTATAAGTTTTAACGTTTCTTTCTTCTTTCCTGTTTTTTTGTTGAAGGAAAGAAAGAGAGAAAAATCTTTATTATACATACTGGATATTTAGGTAAAGTAAATTGCACTGGACTCCCTGTGTTGTGGACAGCCAGTCTCTTCCTGTACATAAATAAATAAACTTTAAGTTGCCTGTCTTAAAATTACTTCTACCGCTCGGCGAAGTAGTTTCATGTTTTAAACACCTCCGCAAAACCGCTGCCGAACTTAACTTTTGGTTGTAAAATTTGTATGAATTAACTTCACCTCGACCTCAAACTCTTTTCCTATGAAAATAGAATTTATAACGTTGAACGTGTTAAATATAGCTTTTTGTCTTCAAGTGCGCTGAACTAGGGAGTATTATGGTTCTCGTTTAATTCAATAAAAAGTGTTTAAATGCTCTGCAACAGTAAGAATGAACAGGAAGCTTTTGAACAGAAAGTAAATCTTCCATCGTGAAGATTTCTTCATGTAGAAAATATCTAGCTTTAGTTCGAATCAGATAAAAGTACGTGACCTTGATTGATTAAGTCTAGAAGTGGCTCATAAATAACAATGTTGTTGTGTTGAATAACAACTCAAATGCGATCTAATTCGTTTCATACATTCACATGTTCTATGCCTGACTTCACAATTTTTTGGGTAAGAAACATTCGGTTTTTTTAATATGTCTTTGGGTATACAGATCAACAATTACAGCTCAAATTACCATACCATACCAGAATAGACTAAAAATTAAATAACACTGCCACAGCCTTTTATTCTTTTTCACACAAACTTTTTAAATTTGTTTAGATTTTCATTTTAATTAGTTCTATTATTACTTTGTAGGTTAAGAAAATTGTAAATACTGTATACTTGATTGAAAATAAACATTTTGGTATTTTATAGGTTCCATAGAACATGCTGTGAATAGTCACAGCATATGATTATTTAGTTTTTTACTTGACTGGTTATAGTAGACGAAGTACTTCGATACTTGTCGAAAAAAGAAAAAAAATTGTTGAAGAAAATAGACATTAATATTACTATAATTTAGCGTTTTAAAGTTAAAATCTAATATAAAAACGAAAGTCTTTCACTTAATTTAAAGTCTATTTAGTATTTACATTTAAAAGCTTAAGCTTTTATTTAAAAACACGAGTTTGTGTGTTTAACACATTAAATTAATAAAACGTTTCTTATTAAATGCTATCGTAAACACCTTATCACTCGTTTTACTTCGACTACTTAGAATAGTTTTATTTAGGTTTAATTTATATATTAAATTAAATCAATCCACCAAAATTGGGCAAATCATTGTTTTCACATTAAATTAACAGAAATATTTGTTACAGTTTGACTCGCCGCATGTCTTCATCAAAATGACGAACAACTCTCAGACTCTAGTCGACATATTCAATGAGATACTCGCTGCGTCTGGGAACTCATCGGACATAACTATCAATCAGACAAAAATATTATCTGCACTAAAGGAACAAGCGTCTAAAGATAGTATAAAAGAAAATATTGGCTCTGTGTTGGCCAAAGTCGTGAATGATGCTAAATTTAATCTGCCGAAGAAGCCGGAGTCCTGTGGATACTGTGATGGTGACTTCAGAGATGTTTTGGAAGCTTACAATGGCATTCATGGATACGTCAGCTTAATAGTGAGTAATATTTAATTATTGTTTGATAAGTTGCCTCTGCACTTTTCAGCTCTAAGGCTTAGAGCAGAGGTCCGACCAGCGAACAATAATTGTTTTTTAGTAAGCTAAAAGATTTTCCCGTCTTAAAAAGTGACAAAGAAATAGACAAGAATAATCTATCAACCACTGGGGGTTCTCGGGGTTCCACAGAATAACATTAAAGCTAAATTAAAATACGTTTCTGTAAATGAGTTCATATACATTTTAGATATGCAATATCATCATGGAAGTGATAAGTTATCTAATGAATGTTGAACTTAATTGTTTGCATAGTTTGATACTGATTCGTTATAATCTAGATAGTTAATCAGCCTTGGAACTTCTGGTTTAGCTAACGTACCTTCAAAGTTCGTGTTCGTTCCTTCAAAGGAAGTTTTGTAATAAAAATATCTGTAAAACTGAAGAACAATTTTTTTGCATTTTCTAGAAATTTAATGTTTCTGCCACGCTGCTTAAGCTACATAATGTTTCGTCCTTGTCACTCTGTAAATAAATAAATGTGACAAAATATTTATTTTGCAAGACTTTTCATCTGTCGTATAATTATTGGCTATGTGTAATGACATTGTCACAGCGTTCACTAGCACTGAAACTTTAACATCTATTTTGCATCAAATTCATGCAGAGAAAGCTTTTAAAAATAAGAACGGGATTTCTTGACTATCTACTTATACATTATTGTTACATATTTAATTTCGCATTTTTAAATGCTGGTTATTCTATTCTACAACTAATCTTAAAACCTTTAGTAATAATGATCAGTGGGTCGACTCAGCCACAGCGGCTTATCTCTAATGAGAATATTCCCAAGAGATATTTTAGTGCACAAGTGTCTAAAGGCTCCCTCTACTCCATAACTCTCATACTGCGATGGGATCTTTTTCTTTAAAGAAAAATCTACGTGACGATTTTTTTATTCAGGCCCATTCGAATCAAGTATTTCGAAGTAAGCGAACCCGAGACTTCATGATCTGCAGTCCAACATGCTAGATGAGTAGTAAATTAAACTAAATCTTATATAAGCTACATAACAAAGATGGCATTTAAAATAATTTTCCACCCACAATGTTTAAGCCGCCTTCGTATTGACCCATTTGCTAGAGTTTCACAGGATTTTTATGCAATATAGAATGACTCGATTCTAAAAATAATTTATGAACTGGAAAATTTCTAGTTCCATTAGTAAGTAACTTCCTCGCAATATTGAAAAAAATATGAAAAGGGATTACAATAAAATATACATTTAGGAACTCACAAATATAACAATAAAAACTGATTTTACGCAAACACAGCATGCTTTATACTTAATAAATATTATTAACTAACAGATTTCTTTCAAACCATAAATATTTGAACTAAAAGCGAATAATATAGGTGAAAAAAAAATAAAACAAAAGGATCAGTTCCAGGGAATAACTCTAAGTTACCTTATTAGGTAACTTACACGCCTAAGAAATACCAAAGTTAGACCCTAAGACGGACTTAGATGCGACATTGTCATGGCATAGAGTTAATATTTTGTAACAATATGTAAATTAATTCTCATTTTGGTCTCGTGTGGAGAACCTAACTCCTCGACTAGTCTAACCATTGACTGGCTGGCCCCCAGTGGCTAAGGTTGAGAAGGTCTATATATCCTTAGCGGCCGGAATACCTTTGTTAGTGCGTTTCAGGATGATATTGTCATCGCATTTGTAAGCGCATACAAATTTCCAAATATACCAAGTTCCAATAAGATCTCCTGGCTGCGGCTACGGCGACTTATCTTTTGAGAGACTTGCCAAGTACATAGAAGACATATGCAAAATTATATGCAGTATACAATATACCTACACAAGTGCAGATCCCTATGTTGTGAGTAAAGAAGTTGTGATTTGTAAAAACCCAATATAAATTAATAAGTCATGAAATACCTACTAGAGGTAATAGCTTAAGAACCGAGGGATAAAAACACCAATAAACTAAGTATACGTACAATAAATGGGAAATAATGTTTGCTAACAGCAAATAGAATTTTCTTAGACATCACTAAAAGCTAACCGTTATAGTCAAGTGCCGCAAAAAGGAGTAAAAACCTTCTCGGAAGTTTTTTACTAAAACCTTAATATTTAGAGTGCATTTTATTCTAAAGACGGTGACGTTTTATTAAACAAGAACTCGTACGTCACAAAATAATTTCCATACACAAAATATTCGTCGGACATAAAACATAAACTAGATCGAATCATTTGTTACAATAGGTTATCCAATAGGATAGGCAACGCACTCGCGAGCTCTCTGGCAGAGAGTGTCCAAGAGCGGCGGTATCACTTAACATCTTTTTGCCTTTTGCATCGTTCTATATAGAACAAAAATATTTAAAAAATCAGTTAAGAAGGGAATCCCTCTTTTTTATTTTACCACTCTTCCCATTTTTGTTTTACTTTTTCGCTTACGATTGCATATGATTAGTATCCCATCGGATAATCCCCTCAGACAATCTAAGGAAGAAAATGACGATAAAAGTTGCTTCCGTTTTAATACGGATACCACTTCTAATTTTCAGCTCCGAATATCTGTACTTCAATATTTGCATACCTGGCCACCGTGTCTAATACGACATGACGGTACACTAAATCGTGTTTATAAATCTTTCTTATTGCCGCCATTACCGAACTTTATTGAGACAATAATGGAGAAATGTAATTTATAAAAGACCTGTATGTTTCACAATCTAATGATATGTTTTTTTATCTCTTATTATTCCTACAATAACTAGCTAATAAACAAAAATATTTGTTTGTAATACCAATGAATTATATTACAAATATTTTTGTGTTTTTCAAAACGTGGTTATGAGGTGATTAAAAATGTTTTTTTGAATTACTATTGTTATATTTGACCTTAAATATGGAATAACTTTCTATATACGCGAGACTGCGGGCTTACCATGTAACTTCAAAAGCATTTTCCATTTCAATAAGTAAATTCCTGCGTTACAGCTATTGAAATAACTACAATGAGTTATAAGAGACTACACAAGAACTGTTTTCGTTTAAAGCTACTATTGGCACATTGTACGTTATTTACGTAACATGTGGAACTTAGCTTTTTTCATACATGCAGAATTCATATATCACCAATTTTATTTGTTCTACGAGTTTCCACTATAGCGTAGCACATATACTTATTGCACCACTACAACCCTCAGATGCCGAGACGTAGCGCTAAGTGTGACTACATATTTCAATATTGGATTTTGATATATAGCCGTGCGATTCTGTTAGTCCGTGAGTTCACCTCGCACTAACAACGCTCCCTTGGTCAGTCACGTCATTTTTGGAATCTCATGGTATTCTGTTAAGCAATTTCACATTACGTCTTGACAAACGGAGGGAGCTTGTAGTTTATTGTTTATCAGAATGCCAAATCGTAAAAGGACTGCTTCACGACTGATTTGAGCGCGACCGCCGCGCCGCTGCGAAAACCGCTGTGAGAGTTCGAAAAGTGAGTTACAGAATCGCAAGGCAGGAGTCTCCGTTTCTGATTCTCACGTTAAATGTGTATGAGCTTGCGCTCGGTAATCTTAAAGGCCATATACCGATGGATACTTTATTTATGCGCAATTAACGTCCGTAAGGTGAACCACGCTGTGAGATAGTGTTTTGATAGTAGGTCAACACATGTCCCTTGCCTCATCTACTTGTCTATAAAAATACTAACAGACGCAGAAATGTGGTTCATAAATATACCGTTCGTTGAGAAGTAACGATTTATACCTACATAATAATAAATAGTTTATTAGCAAAGAAAGTGGTACATTTAGATTGATTAATTGTAATAAAAGCGCACAATCAGCCATATATGAATGGCATAGGCTGATATGTCATGTAAAACATGGTGTAATGGTTGTAGCTCCTTTTACAAACGTTGTGGAAAAAAAATGGCGATTAAAAAGAGTGGCGGAAAGTTTATTGCCAGTTCTTCTCTTCCGTTCTACGCCCTTGATTTGAGAACTGGCAGTAAATGTAAAATTAGAAGCATTAATATGTATTTCTTTACTGACAAGTCATAAGTGTACATTATGTTACCTACACGATTAAATGATTTTTTACTTTACTTTTAATTTACATGCAAATGTCATATTAATTATCATGATGTCATAATAATAAGAACAGTTAAGTTATTTATAATTATTGTAATAACTTATGGTCTAAATACTCTCCCACGCTATAAAGGCATCATATCGTTATATATACAAGACAGGTTTCCTTTTTATGACTACCAATTTTACTCTGAATGTTAGGGATTTTAAAGATGAAAGAATTGTACGCTCCATTGAAAACCGGTTTTATCCCAACGGATTGAGTTTTGAGTAATTGGATGTTTTTACACTTAAAAATATTTATAATTTTGGAGGTTGATGAAAGCTTTTCATTACGGTATTACATATAACGTAAGTAATAAAGTACATTTATGTATTAAGGGCTGTATGCTATACTTGTGGTGACTGGTTGTACTTGAATTCGAGTATGCGGTGATGTTAATTATTTCGACTATGTGTTTGCGTTCCCACGAGAATGTAAGTGCGTGCTCCTATTTCACCATGCCTCCTGATGATAGAGGACAAGTCTTTGTTTTTAATTTATTTTATTATTCTTTATTACTTAAGATGTCATGTGGAACATGGTGTAATGGTTGCAGCTCCTTACAAACGTTGTGTAAAAAAAACATGGCGATTAAAAAGAGTGGCGGAGAGTTTATTGCCAGTTCTTCTCTTCCGTTCTACGCCCTTGATTTGAGAACTGGCAGTAAATGTAAAATTAGAAGCATTAATATGTATTTCTTTACTGACAAGTCATAAGTGTACATTATGTTACCTACACGATTAAATGATTTTTTACTTTACTTTTAATTTACATGCAAATGTCATATTAATTATCATGATGTCATAATAATAAGAACAGTTAAGTTATTTATAATTATTGTAATAACTT